AGAAGAAATGAAAATAGACATTAAAAAGTTCAATGAATCAAATGAGAATGAAAACACTACATACCAAAAGTATTGGTACATAACAAAAGCATGCTCAGAGGGTACTTTAAAGCAATAAGTGCATGCATCTAAAAAGAAGAAAGAAACAAAATGAACACCTTAACCAAACAGCTTTGCAAGAGCAGCAAAGTAAGCCAAAGTAAGAACTAATGAAGGTCAGAGCAGAAGTAAATGAAATAAAAAAAAGAAAACCTATGGAAAGAATCAACAAGACAAGAAGTTTGTTCTAAGAAAGGATTAATAAAATAGATAAACAATTGGCAAATTTACCAGAAAAAAGACGAAAGTGCACAAAACATGCATAAGAAACATATGGGTGACATCACCACACTTCAACACATTTGAAAATCTAGAAAACTTGGACACATTTCTAGAAACATATTACATATCTAAATTAACACAAACTGAAGTAAAAACTTGAAAAGACCTATAACAAAAGAAGAAATTAATCAAGTCGTTAAAAAAAAACCCTATAAAAAATCTCCAGGCCCATACGGCTTTACTGGTGAATTCTACCAAACATTCAGAGAAGTGTTAACACCAATTTTACTCAAATGATTCTAGAAAAGGATGGCTAGCTCCTGAATTCATTTTATGAAGCAAGAATACCCCTGATACCCAAACAGGCAAAGGACTCACTAAAAAAGAAAATCATAGGCCAATATCTCTCATGAACATAAAGGCAAAATTCTCAACAAAATCCTGGCCAATAGAATTCAACAGCATATAAAAATAATAATACCGCATGACCAAGAGGAGTTCATACCAGGTATGCAGGGATGGTTCAATATTAGAAAGACAATCAACATAATCCATCATAGATACAAAACAAAGGGAAAAAACTGCACATAATCATATCAGTTAATATACAAAAGGGATTTGTCAAAATCCAACACCCATTCCTGATAAAAACACTCAACAAATAGTAATAGAATGGAAATTTCTCAGCATAATTAAGGACATACATACAAATCCAACAGCCAACATCACTCTCTACAGAGAGAAACTGAAACCATTACCCTTATAAACAGGAACCAGAACCTTTATCACCACTCTTATTAAATATCATGCTAGAAGTCTTATTGTTGTTGTTGTTAGGTGCCATCAAGTCAGTACCGACTCATAGTGACCCTATGCTAGAAGTCTTAGCCAGAGCTATAAGACTAGAAATGGAAACTAAAGGCATCCAGATTGGCAAAGAAGAAGTAAAACTCTCTCTATTTGCAAATGATATGATCTTATACTTAGAAAATACCAAAAACTCAACAAGAAAATTATTGGAACTCATTGAAAAGATTTGGCAAAGTGGCATGGTACAAGATAAACATTCAAAACTCTTTGGGATTCCTTTATACTAATAAAAAGAGCTCTGGAAAGGAATTCAGGAAAACAATACCATTTGCAATAGCCCCCCAGAAAAAGAAAAAGAAACAAAACAACAACAGCAACAAATTGGAATGTTTTGTAGATATTAATTAAGGGGGTCTAGGTTTATTTGTTGACAAAGATATGTCTATTTATGATGTATTGTTAGTTTGAAAAAAGTAGGAATCTGTGTACAACAAAATCACTTTTTCTTTTACAGAATACTTGCGTGTATTTAGAAAAAACACTTGAAGGAAAATAACACAAAAGTATTAATAATAGTTTATCTCTGGATTGTGAATTTATAGATTTAGTTTTTTAATCTGTAAATTATAATAGCTTTAATAATAAATATATATTGCTTATATAAGAAAAATGACCAATGGAAGCTATTTAATCGTTGTTCTACTTTTTGGCTTTAGTTGTGAGCTATTGGTGTCTATTTATTTGCAAGAAAAAGAATATTACTAAATCCATAAAGTTCTTTATGGATTCAAAAGTAACTTATCAAATATCCACTATGTAACTAGACTTCAATCCCAGTAAAGACAAATGCAACATTAAACAAAACTTTCCACATGTCTAGTCTCTTTCATAAGGACCTCCGTTAGAGTGGTGGTTACAAATGAGCTACGAACTGCAAGGTCAGCAGTTCGAAACTATCAGCTGTTCTGAGGGAGAATGAGAACTGACTTGACGGCACTTAACAACAACAATCTACTGATATCTAAACAATGTGTGTTCCTATTTTAGATATTCAGCTTTGTGGATTAGAATTTCAATAACTGTAGTTATTGTCATTCATTCATTAAAAAAATTATTGAGTAGCCAAAATCATGTGTTTGATAGTGTAAGGAATGCAACAAGAATTAGATATTGCACTTGACCTGAAGTTGCTTTTGAGTCTTGTTAGTTATATAAGCATAACTTGAAGGGAACCTTTAGAAATATTTAATAGTATTTTACAGGACACATGCTTTTCATGGCTTTTGACTAAATCCAGAGTAATTATTTTTACTTACTGTTTATTTTAGGCTGAGGCATTACACCTTTAGTATTTATCAACATGACAGAATTTAAGAAGATGTTCCATTCGTATTCTGACAGGGAACCAACATTCCACATTAGATTTTCAGTCACATTATTTTGCATGATTGCCGTACAAAGCCGAAAGGAGAAGCAAAGTTTATGCTGATTAAATAGAGCTGAAGAAACCACCTATAGGGAGAAGAGTAATACTAAATAATATAGACTAACTCAACTATATTAAATAAGTATGCAAACTTCACATTAAAGAATATCTGACCTTAAAAACATTTCTTGTCAACACCTCTATTGCATTTTTAATATGCTTATTCAAGGAATTTTTTTCACTTTCCAAGTTAGGTTCTTTTGAGAGGTTTGTAATTTCATTAACTTTTCCCTCCTTTTTCAGACTAGAAGCTGAGTTAACGTGTTCTTGTTCTTTGCTCTTGGAAACTACCGATAAAACAAAAACCTGACGAAACCAGTCTAGGGAAAACTGGTACATATAGTTGATGTGTTTGAGATCAGCTACTAGAAAGTAGAGCAGGGCGCCTTGGGTAGCAATGGGCAGGTAGTTTTTACGTGTTGCTTGAATGTCACATTCTGCTTTCTCTGTTGCTTTGATGCGCTTTGAAATTTCACTTGAAGTCGATTTGGATTTTCTTAGAATGTCTATGATATCTTCATCATCTAATATGCATCCTATAGACAAACAGGAAATTTTTTTTAAATAAAAACAATTGTTACATTACATGGTTGTTTCCATATCCTGTACTCTGTCAGTTTTTACTGTTGGCTTTTTGTTAGGGTTTATCTTATATAAAAATAGGTCATATTTCTACTAAATTTGATGAATGGTGCACATGTCTCCCATCCCATCCCATTCCTTCATTTTTTTCTTAATATCTATCTTTCACTGCTTATGGACTCTATTTTCATTATAGGCACATAGGAAGTAACTTTTATTGTAAAGAACACATTTTACATTGTGAGTTAAGTAAAAGTTTCAGAAAATAGCACCATTATTGTATGTAATGCACATGTAATATATGTGATATTTCATAGTTTATCTTATTAAAACCAACAAAGTTTATTTATCAATCAATTAATAGGTTGCAATTCACCTTTTGAATAAAACACTGTAGCTGTTGTTGTTAATTGCCATTGAGTCAGTTTGACTCATAGCGACCCTGTATAGAAGTTTTTCAGGCTCATCTTTCTTCTGCAGAGCAACTGGTAAGCTCTAACTGCTGACCAGTGCGTATTTCTCCCCACTTCAAATACTTAAAGCAGCTCTCATAGTTTCTTTTTAAGTTTCTATTTTGTTGCTGTTGTTAAGTGCTGTGGAGTTGGTTCCAACCCATAGCGACCCTGTATAGGGTTTCCAAGGAGCAGCTGGTGAGCTTGAACCTCTGACCTTGTGGATCAAACCGACTTTGCAGTCCAGCACCCTACCATATCATTTCCCATGGGTGAGAGAAGAGAGTAATGGCAAAGGTCAACTATGTACAAAGAGTCAGTAAGAATGTCTTGTGTTACTAATACTTGGAAAGGAAGAGCAAAGATTAAGTGCAGCATCAAAATTTATTTTTATTTATTATTTTCCCCCTAACAACAATTTTTATAAATCATCCCACAAGGTGGTCCACAGCTCAGATGTAGACATTACTTAGAAAACTTCATCTGTATCAATAAGAATACACTATCCAAATCACGGGATAAAGTAATCAATCCCTTTATGACCTATGATAGTCATATCTAACTGAAATATCATGTTTAGTTCTGGATACCTCATTTTAAGAGGGCTCTTTGTAAACTAAAGTGTGCTCAGAGGTATTAAGGATAGTGAGGGTCCAGAAAACATACAATAAAAAATACAGTTAAAGATGATAGCAAAATAAGACATTTGCCATATGAGTGGTTCATAAAATGGGACTGGCTGTATTTCTGAATTCTGTTAGATTAGTTGCATAACTTTTTATACGTATCACATACTACCTAGATGCCCCAGTTTTGTTTCCAGCTGATGGTTCCAATCTTTAAAGAGAAACAGGCATGGAAACCTTGTCCTATCATTGATACAAGCATGACTTCTTTATGTGTAATAAAGAAACAGGGGGCAATTGTTGTAAGGAAACAAAGTATATGAATTGTTGAATGTAAAATTGATAACCTGTAAATTTGCAATTCACAACAAAACATTCTGTAAAAAAAGAAGAAGGTTATTATGTGTAATTAAAATAGAAAAGGAATACGTCAGAATTTTCCAGGCACAAATGTGTAGTCACAACTTCATAGTAAACAAATATAATTCTAAGTGAAGACTTGTTAATATTTCTAACACAGAATGAATTTTCCATTAGATCTCTTTTTCCTTTTTATAAATATGGCTACAAAAACTGAGTTACAAATTTCATTTCTTTTTAAAATTCTTCTCTTAACAGCTTCCTCTAAATTGGTCAAGACATTGGCACTTAACTTTTTTTTTTTTTTTTTTTTCAGTTTGAGGATTTAGTGGTAAAATATTGCCTCCTAAGGTATTAAAATAATCCATTCACAAACATAAGGCAGCTTTTTGTTGTAAAGATATTACTTCTTTGTAAAAGGTTATGTTCCTCAGTTATCTGCTGTTATCAGTTGTTAGCATTTTCTTTAAAAAAATTTTTTTTTGCTGTAAATTGAGTAAATGTTTACAGAGAAGATAGACCATCAGTTTTACTTTAAGCAAATTGTACACTTTGCTTCATCTCAATGATTGCAATCCTCTCTATGCAACATCTGCCAACCTCATTCTTCTTTTATATTTCCCTCCCCATCACTTGAGCTAATATGTGTCTGTCTTCTAGCCAGTGAATTACTCTCTCTTCCCTCCCATCCCTGGAAACCATCAAACAATCTTTTAGCATGAAAACTTTCTTGAGTTTTTACAATAGCGGTTTCTCATACAATATTTGTCCTTTTGTAATTAACTAATTTCACTCAGCATAATGTCTTCCAAGTTCATCCATGTTGTGAGGTGTTTAGCTGATTCATCGTTATTGCATTGCCTAGTATTCCATTGTGTGTATGCACCAAAGTTTGTTTATTCATTGGTGGGCATTTAAGCTGTATCCATCCTTTTGTTGTTGTGAATAGTGCT